CCAGCAGGCCCCAAAGCCCAGGGCGGGCGCTGCTATAAGCTGTCCGCTTCCGAGCGCCCCCACCAGCCCAAGCCGCTGTCCCCTCACGGTCCTCGGTGCTTAGCACCCTCAGTCCCGCCCGAGCAGGTGTCCTCGCCACCATGTGCTCGCTCGGGGAGCAAGTGCGCGACTGGCACAGGGGTGTGGAGGCTGTGGCGCGTGGGGACTGGAGCTGTGCGCTGCGCCTCTTCTCCGGCGTCACGAAGATGCCCTCCAGGATGAGCTTCAACGTGGGCTGCGTGCACCTGCTGGCCGGGGACCCGGAGGCCGCGCTGCGGGTGAGCGCTGGGACAGGGTGCACCACTTAGGGTCCAGGGAGGCCAGGAAGCGCCTGGAGACCCCGCTGCAGGCACGGCCCTCCACCCTGGGGATCCGGGAGAGGTGCTGCCAGCCCTGGCCACCAGGCTGCCCTGCCCTGGCCCTGAAGCTCCTCTGGGCTCCGCTGGATGGCCCTTCCCTGGGTCCCTCCCCTGGAGGAAGGTGGGAGCTGTGTGCCTGCGGTGCTGCCCAGCATCCTTCAGTGCCTCCACAGTGGCCCCAGGAGGCCAGGGCCAGCACCTGGTCAGACTTCCAGATCCAGGCTGCCTCGGCCAGCCGGGGTATGAGGCTGTGGGCCTAGCAGGGCCCTTGGAGAAGGCAACAGACAGGGTCTCCTCCTCAACTCTCCGCTCTTGCTGTGTCCCCACCTACTTCTGGAAACACCCGGAGATCCAGGTGCACACAGCCTCCTTTTCAAACACTTCCAGATCTCAAAGTGATGCCTGTTCTTGGAGATGTGACAAGAAGCACCCTGCCCACCACTTGGTGGGCCGGGTTCCTGCTGTCTGATGAACTGCGGCAGCTGCCCGGACACCATACAGATGAGGACCCAGTGCCCAAAGTCACCCCCACAGGGGAGCCGGGCAGGCACGGCTGTCTCTCCACTATTTCTTACACCCACATTTGCACCAGTTATCTCAGTAACAGCTTCCACCTTAAGCCTGTGCAAGAAGGAAGCTGCCAGAGTGAGTCAGGCAGGTGGACCCATCCTCACCCACCCTAAAGTGTGGTGTGAGCAGGCTGGGGCCAGGTTAAGTCCTCCACCTGAAGATGAAGAGAAGGTACTGTCCTGAGCAGTGCTGGCAGCTTAGGCAAGGTAGGGACAGGGAGATTCTGAACAACAGACAAGCAGCTACAGTTGACAAAACTGGCTGTCTAGGGGCAGGAGACAAGGAGGGGCCTAGCTGAATTGCTGCCTGCTGGTAAGAAACTTGTGCAATGTTTGATTTGCCTGCTGGGTGTGGTAGGGCAGTAAATGGCAGCCACACCACCTTCAGGCCCAACTGCACTTGCAAAGGTCAGGCCAAACCCAGTTCAGTCACATGTCTGCCACCGCAGACTGGTTCTGTGGGGCTGAGCCACAGTCCCCTCCTCCTGCCTGGTTTTACTGATGGACACTGTCCTTGTTTCTGGATCTGGTGGGGGAAGAGCAGTGGTTTCCACATGGACAGGTCTCATTCTGACATCTGGGTTGCTCTGATCCTTACATCCTACTGTGCCATTTTGTATGAGCTCCCGAAAAGGGATTTTAAAAAGACGAACTCACAGAACTCCACCCCCGAGGCAGCTGCTACTGACACAGCAGCACATTTCCTTCTGCATCCTTGTCCTTGTGGTGGAAAACTGGCTTCCATCCCCGCTGAGACTGTTCCTGAGCCTGTGGCCGGGTGCTATGGGCAGCTGGGCTGTGGCAGCACAAGAGCTGAGTGACACCTGCCTAGGCTGGTGCCCAAAGGCGCTGGACAGGACAGCACCCCTGGGAGATGGCATCGAGGCTACAGCCTTGGCGTTCCGTGTTTGTCCCTAGGCATTTGACCAAGCTGTGACCAAGGACACCTGCATGGCTGTTGGCTTCCTCCAGCGGGGCGTGGCTCACTTCCAGCTGGAGCGGTGAGCACAGGGGCCCCTTGTTCCCCATCCAACAGCCCTTTGTTTCTGTAGCTCCCCCTCTGCTCCTGTGACTCTGGCCTGGGTGAGGCCGCTGCAGTCATACCAGGGTCGTGGTCTCACACAGCCCTCGTCCCTGCCAAGCTTCACAAGGCTTTCTTGGTATCCTGCGCTCGCTCCTTACCTTTCTGTAGCAACACAGACCTGGTGATTATGCCCATTTGGCAAATGAGGAACCCGAAGGCTTGTCCTGGACACATCCTGGTCACCTTGTCCCCTCCTAGAGGTGGACTCAGGGTGGCCAGTGGTCAGCCTGCCTGGGGGAGGTGGGAGTTTGATTTGTGGGGAGGCAGGTGGGCAGTGGGGCAGCGGATACCTCTGGCAGAGCCGGAGCAAACTCAGCCCTGGCCCCAGCCCCTCCATCAGCACATGGCATGCTGCCCCTTGGCCTGTCCATCTGGACAAGATGCCCATTGGCACTCCTGTGGGTCCCCCGGAGCAGGGCAGGCTGGGTGCCCCCAAGTGCCCCCCACAGGCTGTGCTCCACTGAGAAACCCCTGCCTACAGGTTCCAGGAGGCTTTGTCTGACTTCCAGCTGGCCCTGGCGCAGCTGCGGGGTAACAGCGTTATCGACTACACACAGCTGGGCCTGTGTTTCCGGCTGCAGGCCTGGGAGGTAAGGCCACGGGGCTCATGAGTGCCAGGTGCCATGGGCCCTGTGCTGTTCCCAGTGGATGGGGTTGCGTTGTGGGCATGGTGGGTGGACTTCCAGAACCTCGAGATCTCTGGCCACGCTTTGCTGGGGCAGAGTAGAGGTGGGTGCGTTCTGGGGCTCCCTGCCTTGAGGGCACAGGGAAAATACAAGCCCAGCATATGAGCCACGTGGGAGCCCCTGGTGTCAGCATGGAAGCCAGGGCCAAGGGCCCACCCTGCTCACCAGCTCAGGGAACCAAGCAGCATAGGCCAGGTACGGGGTGCCAGCTGCAGGAACTTGGGGCCATACAGCCAGCCAGCTGCAGGGACAGAGGCTCAAGGGGAGATTGATGGGTGTCTCTTGGTGAAGCAAAGCCAGCTTGGTTGTGTGCTTTGGGGCCCGGGGTCCATGGGACCCTCTTCAGATGCATCCCAGACTCGCAGGTACAGGAAGCAGCAAGCATGGAGGAGGTGCAGCCATGTGCAGGATGGAGGTGATCGGCCCAGGAGGCATTTGGAGATGGACAGTAGAGTGCTGCACGAGGCCTGGCCTTGGTCACGCAGCTGCCCGTGACAGGCAGAAGGCACAGGTAGCCTGGTCCCTGCTCACAGCCCCCACATCAGCTGAATGCCAGACAGCTCTAGCTGCTGTGGCTGGGGAGCCCAGGTGTGGGACAGGTGAGGGCCCAGGTGAGGCTCCAGGTGTGGGGCAGTGAGGGGCCAGTGAGGACCCAGATAGGAACTAGACTTGGGATCTGACCCCTGTGTCACCACCTTTCCTCCCAGGTACAGTACAATGTGGCATCTGCACAGTGCCAGCTGGGACTCTGGGCTGAGGCCACCAACACACTGGCTGAGGCCGTGGCCAGGTGGCCAGAGAGGGCACAGGAGGGCCTGACTGCGGCTCTGTACCAAGTGCAGGTGAGGGCAGGCGAGGGGTGCCAACTGCAGGTTGGCCTGTGGCCTGCAGCTTTGGGCTGGTATTTGAAGCTCACCCTCAAGACCAGCCAGATGACATGAAGAAGCTTCTGGGGGACGTGGCCCTGGGCCTGTGGGAAGCGGGGAGGGGGGTCTCCAGCAGGTTCCCCTGTTCCCAGGCCTGGGGCTCTGCAGCTATGCCCAGCGGCCACCAATTCTGTAATGCCTCTGCTCCCAGAAGCAGGCCCCTCTGCAGCCACGTCAGGTTCCCCCCGGCAAGGTCTTCCGGCCACACAGGAGGTACCTGGAGCACCTGGAGCCCATGGATTTCCTGGGCAAGGCCAAGGTAAGGTGTGGGCTGCCTTGGGGCCAGGGCGCCTGAGCCTGTGCTGAGCAGGTACAATGGCTCCTATGCTGAGCACCTTACCGTGTTCACAGGGATATGTGGGTCCTGCCAAAGGCATCTGAGGCTGGGCAGAGTTGGGGTGACATCGCCCAAGCGGGGCCTGGAGGAGTGCCCTGCTGACAGGGGCTCAGTGGAGGCGCTGTCCCTCCTGCCTGGGCCGTAGCCATGCTCTCCTGGCCTCCACATCTCCACACGTCTGTCTCCACTGCACACCTCGGGGGCCTGGGGAGGGACACAGTGGTTGGCTTGGGCCACGTTGGCCCTGTCAGGGCCAGGCAGCACTGCCAAGATCACAGGCCAGGCAAGCCCCCCACCTCCAAAGACAGGGGAGCAGTTCGGGGACAATAGAAGCTCCTAGTGTCATGAAGGGCCATGCAGATTTGGTACTGGGGCCTCCAGGCTGGCCACACACCTATGGTCTCTAGCAACAGTGCTGGTGCCCAAGGAGCCATGACAGGACATGACCGTGTGCCTGGGGCACTCAGAGAGGGGCCGTGTTCGTGTATTCGCTGAGTTCACTGGTTACACTGCTACAGAAACACGGTGTAGAAGTCGTGCAAGACTTGAAATGACCACCACGGGAGTTTCCGCCATGAATTTCCTGCCATAATGGCCTAGTGGTCTTGGATTGGATATGGATGGCCCCTAAGATGTGGTCGGCTGGGAGCCAGTGCAGGCTGGGGGAACAGACCCTGCAGGGCCCCACCCAACTGTCCCCCTTGCCCCCACCAGGTGGTGATCCCTGCTGTCCCTGATGCCTGGCCCTCAGGCGTCCAGCCTCCACAGGTGGGTTAGGGGCTGCCCCACGGCCCAGCTTGTCCTGCCTGGCTTACACAGGGCTGCCCACCCTGAGAACAGCACTTCTGAACCCCTTCCTCTCCTGGGACCCTGACCTCTGATAGTAAAGGGGTGACTGTGCTGTCTGCCTGTGGGCCATCTGGCCATGGTCCTCCTTAAGGTTTGGGGCCAGGGCCCTCTCATTTGCCCTCCATCCTCAGTCACTTTGTGCCCACAGGGACGGGGAGCCCATGGTGAAGCTGGCTGCGGGGCTGCACCATGGTAGGAGGGGCCTGTCCCCCACACACCTCCCCTCCTTTAGGGCAAGGTCCTGTGGACCGGGCTGTCGGGATGGGACCATCACCACCTGTTTGCAGACTGAAACTGCCTGGAGCTCCCAGTGCCAGGAAAGGGGTGTCTGGCCCCTTGGCCCCACCCCAGTTCCTATCGTCCCCTCCAGGAATTGGGGACATGGTGGAGGCTGAGACCCGGGGTCTCCGTGAACCTCAGCAGCTCCAGGGTGAGGGGAGGTCCAAGCTAAGCTGCCCAGGGAGGGGACATGGCCTCACCAGGCTGGTAAATGGCACGCTGACACACGAAGCCACTGAGACGGGTCGCTCAAATTGGGGGCACTGAGTAGGACAAATCCTGGGACCCTACACCAGCACCACCTCCTACACCTCACCTCAGGGACCCCCTCCTAGGCCCCAAGCCTTGGATCCCAGAGGAGCCAGAACCCATGACAGCTCCCGAGATGCAGCAAGGGAAGCCAGCTCTGACCCCCCCGGGCGGGCTGACAGCTGCCTGCCTGTCACCTCCCAGGAGATGGTGAGTGGAGCTGGCACCGGGAGGGGACAAGCCAGCCCACCATGGGGCCTGATGGGGCAGAAAGGGACTTCAGGGCCTGGGCAGGGGGACGAGTGGTCAGGTCAGCACAAGTGGCTTTACACCACCTTAACCACTCTTCAGGCCCTATCTGTCCATCCCGGGTGCAAGGAAACAAGGTGACAAAGTGTGGGACAGGTTAGGAGCAGATAGCCCTGGCAGGACCTCCATCCTGCCCCTTGGCTAAAGGTGTCACCTCAGCCTTCCTTCCTAGAATCTAGGGCCCCCACGTGTGGGATACCCCAGCTCCTGGACCCTGCCCCAGGACTCACCTGTGGCTTCCCTTGCAGAGGTCCCAGGTGGTGCCAGCTGGCAAACCAGCCCCTCCATCTACAGGTGAGGGGGTCCTGGGTGCTTGGGGGCTCTGCGAAGGGAGTGAGCTAGGACCAGGGCTTTGGTCCCCCAAGGTGAGTGTGGGGCTGCGGCAGCTGCCTTCGGGCTATTCCTCGGCTCCTCCAGCCACTCACCTGACCTCTGCATCTTCCTCAGGGCTGCCTGGGCCAGGCCCTTCCCAGGACCCTATGAGCACTGGGGTAAGATACGCACTGAACCCCTGGTCTACCCCATCTTCCCTTACACTTGGGCCAGAAACCCACTGGCTGGGGATCTCAGAACTGCCCGCACCCACCCCAGGGAGCAGCTGTGCAGGACTCCAGGGACGCTGCCACGGTCACCGTGCAGTGCATTCTCACCGTGGGACTGCAGGCACCCAGAGGAGCCGGGTTGGCCAGCCTTCGGGCCCTGCTGGCTGAAGCCCTCCCTGCCCAGGCCCAGCGGGCACAGCTTAGGTGGGTGCAGGTGTGCTGTGGGGGTGGGCAGGGTGACCCTCACCGTCCAACCTAAGTGCTTTCTCGGCAGTTACTGGGCCCCGGAGGATGGCAAGCTCTGGGTCCCCATCCCCGGGGAGGCCACCCTGCAGAAGGCATGGAGGGATGCGGCATCCGGCCCCCGAGGGCTGCGGCTCCGGTGCCGGGTGAGCCAAGTGGGGACATGAGCAGGCGCTAAGAAGAGGAGAGAGTGGGTGTGGACACGGGCAGGGGCTGGATGGCGGGGAGGCCTTGCCCTGCCCCCTCAGCCACCTCCTGCCGCAGGGTGCCGCGGGCCGGCCGGTGCTGTACCAGGTGTTGGCCCAGCACGACTATTCAGCCCAGGGCCCTGAGGACCTGGACCTCCGCCGAGGGGCCTTGGTGGACGTCCTGGGCGAAGGTACCTGCAGCTGCCCAGGTGGGTGTAGTCCAGGCCCGGCTATGCAGGCACAGACCCTGACTGGTGTCCACCCTCCCTGCAGTGGATGAGGCCTGGCTGGAGGGGCACCGGGACGGCGACATCGGCATCTTCCCCAAGAGCTTTGTGGTTCCAGCTGGTGGAGAAGCGCCCAGGGCCTCAGGGCCCCAGCAGGAAGACTGGCTCTGAGCAGTTCTTGTGGCAGAAGGTTTAATAAAAACAACACCACCACTTGTTCTATGTTGTGGGCTTGGCCAGGAGAGGGACCAGCTGGGCACCTGGGAGGGTGCAGGGCGTGCTGGCCTGTGGTGCCACTTCCGCAGGTCCTCTGATCACCAAGGGGAACAGGAGTCCCAGAGGCTACCTTGGGGCGCTTCAGGGTTGGTCAGTTGGTGCAAGAACATCCAGCTGCCCAGTGGCTGGGAGGAGAGGGGCCAAGACCCAGAGAAGGGCCAGGGAGCCACAGCAAGGTTCACAGAACATCCAGGCTTCTCCCTCCAGCACTGCCTGCTGACTGGGCTACCGATGTGTGAATGACTCAGATGCTCACGGATTCCAGCTGCGACCCCCACAGTCTGTTTTGGTGAGGCCTGGCCTAGTCTTGCAGCCAGAAGAGATGGACTGCGACAGCCCCGAGAATGGCCAGCAGAGTCAGCACAGCGAGTGCCACTCCAGCCACCCACACCCCGTAGCTCTGTGCCCGCCCCTCAGCTGGTGCCTCAGCTGGGATCATGCCAGTCAGGTTCAGCATGTAGCCCAGCGTCCAGCCAAAGTCTGTCCCGCCGGCCTGTGGAGCACAGAGTGGCTCAGGGTTCCCGGAAGCTGCTCCAGACCCCAGCCTGGGACTCATACCCAGGGTGCATCACCTGCTTCTGGAATTCTATGCTGGGCCAGCTCTCCTCTTGGAAGCCGTAGCCATCCCTCAGCAGTGTGAGGATGTACAGGCCTGAGGCACAGTAGTCAGGCAACCAGCGTTCCTGTCCAGGGTAGCTGTTTTCCACCTAGGGCCAGTGTGCCCAGGAGCCAGTGAGGCTCCAGGACCCTGAATGCTCCCCGTGTGACCTGGATAGTGGAGCCTCCAGACAATAGGGATGCACTCCCTTGTCCCCACAGGAAACATGCAGAGCAGGAGAGGCCCAGGGCAGCCACCATGACAACCAGAGGCTGGACCCCCTTCACCTGGAGCAACAGGGGCTCCACTTCTCCCTACCCACAGTACCTCCACCCTGCGGCCGTGGGCTCCACATGAAATCCAGTTCCAAGAAACCCACAGGACAGGAAGGGCTGGGGCAGGGGACGGGTCACCCACCAGCTTCCAGGGCCTCTGACAGAATTTCCAGACCGTGGCATTGGCAGCGCCCAGCGGCTGCCTGGAGGTGAGGTTCAGGAAGCGGAAGGTGTAGTAGAAGTTGGAGAAGGCCTAGAGGGAAGGGAGAGGCTGTGCATGCCTTGTGTGCACACGCCTGAGTCCCTGAGCCACCCAAGGCTCCTGTGCGCCATCCTGGTGTCAGCGACACCTGGCCTGGAGGGAGCGGGGTACCAGGTGCTCACATAGAAGTGGCCCTGCACGGGGGGCTGGTAGACACCATCAAAGGCACAGTCTCCATGGTCCCGGCAGCTGTAGTTGAAGAGTCCACGAATGGCTGCGACACAGGCCCCGGGGTTGCCCGTTCCCTCAACTGTGAGGTTCTGTGTGGGGTCCAGGGGCACAGCGGTGTGGATGCAGGGTGACTCAGACAGGGCAGCCAGGGGCAGGGTGGTCTGGTAGCCACTGTGGTAGCATGGGTGTCGCAGCAGAGTGGCCGGGCTGCTCTGCAGGGGGGTTGAGGGATGAGCTCCAGCCACTGCCCCCTGGCCTCCCCACGCTGGGCTCCCCACACGGCCCAACCTGTAGCAGCCCAGCCAGGAGCCTGAGCAGCACTTGGTCGCGCCCGTAGCAGAGGTGGCTGTGCGTGTAGACCCTGTAGTTGGTACCGTACAGGTGGAAGGTGGCCTGGGAGCTCTGGTCCAGGATGGGGCCACTGGGAGCAAAGCAGATCTGGGTGGAGGCACCCCCCATGTCCAGGGTGCCCAGCAGCATCCCATCGGCAGGCTGTGTCCACTGTCCGGAGGAGTACTGCGCACAGACAGGGCCTCAGCCAGGGCCACGCCCCACCACCCTGTCTGCCTACCCTCCAGCCACCACGCACCTGGATCAGCCTTCCCAGCAGGTAGTTTACAGTGATCCAGCCAAAGGCTCCTTCATCCTGCCCAGCCAGCACCTCAGCACCCCAGAAATCCAGGGGAGATTGGCCTAAGACCTGGGAGACAGCCTCGAGGATGTTCCCCGCCTGGGAGCTGTTCTTCTGTCTGGGCAGGGGATGGGGGCCAAGCTGGCGGGAAGCCAGGCTCAGCCCTGCTGGCCCCACTCTGGATTTCAGGACCCCAACCCTGACCCTCACCTGAGCAGCCTCATGCCAGCTGTGGCCCCCAGGAATGTGGGCGTCTCCCTGTGCTGGGCATCTGGCACCAGCGCCAGTGCCTCCTCCAGGCAGCCCCTCAGACTCTCGCCCGCCTGCGAGGGGTCTGAGGCGTAGGAGGAAATCCCGGGCCCTGAAATGGTGCCCGGCACAAGGTGCAGGCCAAAGTTAGGGTCCGAATGGTGACTCCTGATGCGAACACACCCTGAGGCTTGCAACCCATGGCTGCGGCCTTGCTTGTGTCACTGAAGACCTGAGATCAGCGTGGACCCCCTGGTGTGCCCTACGCCTGTGCAGTGTCTGCAGGCCCGCACGACCTCCAGCCCTGTCCCCTGCTGTCCACGGAGCTGCGGGCCTGGCCATTGGCACCCCACAGTCCCCCAGGTGGGTAGTAAGGGTCAGGGAGATGCACAGTCAGCAGGGGAAAGTGGGGTGCGGGTCCCACAGGGGTGCAGTCCAGCCTGGCACTGCAGCTGCTCCACTCAGGATGTGACCTAGCCTCTCAGAGCCCTGATGCAGCGGTGCCTGACCTCCGCCCTCTCACTGGGCCCCTTCCCCACCAGGTCCGCCCAGGAACTGCCCGCTGACCTTCCACCTGGCAGGCTAGAGCCTGGCTAACCACGCCTGTGTCCTTCTCCTTGTCCGCTGGCCACTGGTACACAAAAAGGGATGTGTGGGAGGAGCCAGCATCGAACACGATCCCGAACTGGGGGGACACTGGGTCAGTGGGGGGTCCTGCAGCCAGCTGCCCCACCCCACCCCCAACAGTCCAGGGTGCACCTTGGTTTCTGCAGGTAGCAGGATGCTGGTCGTCTCTACCAGGATAAGGACAAGCACAGTGAGGCCCGAGGCTGTGGCCACCCCCAGGAGGACCATGAAGATCCACTCCTTCCAGGACAGCCCCATGGTGGGCGCAGGCACCTGTGGGCCAATGGGGCAGCAGTAGGCAGCAAGACTCCAACCCTACCCACCCAGTTTCCGTCGGTCCTGCCACAGGTCTGAGGATAGCCCACAGGGTCTAGGATAGCCCTTTCCAAAGCCACTGTCAGGGCTGTGGTGGCCCCTGAGGAACCCACAGGAAGGACCGGAGGCCCCACCCCTGTGCTACGGGGCACCCCACTCTCCTCCCCCAGGCCTCCTCTGCCCTCAAGACTCAGGGCTCACCCAGCCTCGCCCAGGGCAGGTTTGTCTGGGAGCCTCAGCCAGGCCTAGCAGGGTGGGGGATGTGAGTGTGCTCCTGCGGGGCCTCTTAACAAAGACCTCTGTTTCTTTTTGAAAATCCAGCCTTGAAAGTCTCCACCCTGAATCTGAGACTTTCTCATTGGCCCCAGAGGGCCCGGGCAGCTGACCAGGCAGACTGCATGCTATTCCTGGGCCTGGGCACCCACACCTTCTGCACAGTTCAGGGCTCACCCCCAACCACTCCAACCTGCTGCAGAGGGGCGCTGCTCCCCCGCCCCACACCTGGAACCAGCTGCCCGCTGGACCCTGCAGCCTAGGACAGCCCAGCTGGAAATGCTCCGAGCCCCGGCACACTGATACCTGAGACTTTTATCCTACTGCCTGTCCCCCCAAGAATGCAGACACCGTCATACGTGTCACCAAATCGAGGGCAGGCCTGCTCCAAGGAGGAAAAGTGGAGGCAGGGAGGACAGGCTACCTGTCCAGGTGGCAGCACTCAAACCCCCTCAGGAGAAACGGCGTAGGAAGCACCAGGGACACAGGGACCCCCAAGAAATGAAGCCACTGAAGACCCCTCAGTCCCAGCCCCAGGAAGGTGGGGGAGGAGCACAGAGCAGATCCCCAGCTTGGGATAAGAGTACCTTGAGCAGGAGTGTCCCCAGAGCAGGACAGTCCCCTCGTCAGGACAGGACAGTCCCAAAACCAGGAGGGCCCTCAGACCAGGAAAGTCCCCAGAGCAGGAGAGTCCCAACCCAGGCCACCCTCTGGGCGCACTCACCTGGCAGCTGACCACACAGGGCTAGGGCTGCTGCACCCAGGTGTGCACCTGCTATGCTGTCCTCAGTCTCCACCCACCAGGACCTGGAGGTGGCGGTCACATCGGCCCAAGACTACAGCTCTGAGGACAGAGATTGGGGGCTGCCCCTCTGCCTGAATCACCCAAGGTGCTGACCTCCGGTCCCCACCACTCTGGGAGGGGAGGAAAGAAGGCAGGGTCCTCACGGTGACCTCAGAGCTGCCCTGGGGATGTAGACAGGCAGGTGTCGGGGAGAGCCCAGGGCCCTGCAGCTTGGACCTTGCCCTCTGCCCTGTCTGTGAGGCCTGTCCAGGGCAGAGTCAGGTGATGATGACTAGGAGACAAGAGGCACAGGGCTGGCGGCCACTGCTGGGGCGGGGAGGACACGGGAAGGGCCGTTCCCCTCAGCCCTGGCTTGGTTGTTTTTCATAGCGTCCTCCTGCTCAAGCACAGTGCCAGCGAGCCACAGTCTGGGAGTCTGGCGCCCCCTGCTGGCCGTCCACACTCAGTCGCCGGCCTCTTGCGGGCTGCAGCGGTTTCGAGATCCCTTTCTCAGTGCTTGGCTGTCCCTCCTGTGGACAGAAGACCCTGTCCGAGCAGGCCTGCTGTGAGCCTTACCCGGGAAGCTGCTGGGATGGCTCCCACCTGTACGGAGGAGGGCCCCAACGGGCTGAGGCTTCAGCCAGATGCAAACTTGGGCAACCCGCCTTCTACCAGCAGGGCCCGATCCATGGCACCTCAGCTGACGTCTGTCAGCTCGTGCTTTCAGCCCACCTGACCACGTGGCCTCTCTGTGGATTTAAACTGTGTTTCCCAAAGGATCGGTGATGTGAAACCTCTGTCATGCATGCATGCATGTGTCGTATCTCACCCCTCCCTAGACTGGGGATTGAACCCAGGGCCTTCACACTGAGCTAAATCCCAAAATCCTTTTTTTTAAAAAAACGTATTTTTCAAATTTTGTTTTGTTTTGAGACAGGGTCTCACAAAGTTGCTAAGTTGCCCAGGCTGGGCTCAAACTTGTGGTCTTCCTGCCTCTGCCTCCCAAAGGGTGAGGATAAGGCCACCACAGCCGGCTGGTCCACACTCTTTCATGTTTGTCTCAGCCCTTGGTAACATGTCTTCTTTTGCCTATGTCTTAAACAGATTGTTTCGTGTTAGGTTTAACGGGTTCCTTCCGTAGTCTAGACATCGGTCCTTGGTTGGATATGCAACTTCAGAATATTTTCTCCCAGTCGTAGCGTGTCTTTCCACCGTCTTAACAGTGACTCACAGAGCAGAATCAAACGATTCGATGAGCTCCACTTTGTCACCCTATTCCTTGATGACTATAGTGCCTTTCATGTCATGACCAGGAACTAAATGCACCTTGCAGCCCCAGTGAGTCACCCAATCTCCTGAGAAGGGAAACTGTGAGGACCCGAGAGACCCACAAGTAGGAAGGTCACTGGGGGAAAACTTCCCCATGCTCCCGAGGGATGCCACACGGTCAAGCAAGGCCACGGCCCATCGAGGCGGACGACACTGGTAAAGGGAATGAGGCGAGGACGGAGCGACTCTTCCCCCAGGTAACACCTGAGGAGCCTTACCTGACCTTACACGATGGATCTCACGGGTCCTACTCTGACCCAGTCGTAAACACTCAGCAGAAAAGTAACCGAAAAGAAAGGGTCCCCAAACACCACCTCAGCTGTCACTGCCAGTCTGCGGCCGCAGGGGGAACACGGGAGCCTCCAGCCCTCGTGCTCAGGTTCCAGTCCCAGCACTCTCCCAACTCTCCCACAGCATCCTTCTGCCTGTCTTGGGGGCACCACTGTGACATTTTGATGTACATTCCAGTATCCCTGGGATGAAGATTTAGCTTCCTGTACAGGTCACTTGTAGGAGAAAAACGCCACCATAAACATTGTAGCCTCTACACGGTGTTACTTTGGGGTATAAACTCACCGTCTGTTATTTACTTCAAACTTTGTATGTTTGCGTTACCTTGAAGACAGTCACTACCAAGATCTTTAGGCCTATAAAGGAAAGGCCAGAGGTGCTGAGCCCTGCAATAAGAGTTCACATAAAATCAGAGATATCTTTATTTAGATGATCACTTGGCCATTATAATTAAAATTTTAAAAGATTAAATTTCCTATTGCCACAACAAGGAGTCTGTGGGCTCTTAAACTTTATCTGCTATACTGAAGCAAACTGAATCTGGGAGAGGAAGACACCCAGGGAGGCAGGAGGCAGTGTACAGCTCTTTTATTACATGGACAGACCTGGCTAGGACAGCTCCCAAAGAAGGTAGGCCCAGCATATCGGCGGCCAGCAGTTTTATAGGGTTGCAAGTAGGAGGCACAAAAGCAGAAGCAGAGTATTTGGCAGTCTTTGGTTGGTTAGTTATTTGTCATTTTTAAAAAAAACATCTATGAGGTTTAAGTCCCTTGGAGTTTCCCTGGGAATATAGCAGAGTTTACACAAAACGAGAGCAGCGGGGCTTGGGGCAGGGGGAGTTCTAGCAGTACTTTCTGAGTTCATTACTCTCCTGCGGTGACAAATTACCGAACTTGTCACAGCCACTCACGCATTCTACAGACAGCATAGTTACCTGGTTAACCCACAGTTGCTTAATAACACAGTTAAGTCACAGTTGTCCAATTTCGTTTTTTTGTTAGACATATATCTGTCTGCCTAGAAATTCCATTTCGTACTTGGATAAACACCACAGGACAAACAGAGGCTAGCATTAAACTCTCATATCTTTTTTTTGTTTGGTACTGGGGATCAAACTCTCAGGCCCTTGCACTTATGAGGCAGGCAGCCACTGAGCCAAATCCCCAACCCGAAGTTAACATTAAAGATACAAACTTACGCCAAATATGGCCTCGTTTTATCTTCTATCATTTTGAGGACCACTATTCCCCATTACTCTGCTGGAGACCAGAGAGGTAGATTGAGGCCTAACTGGCCTCCTCAATGAGCACTAAGAAGAAAGAGGGTGCGCCCACGTCCTGACACGCTGCAGGGAAAAGTAAAAACATCTGAGGTCCTGTCGTGGAGGGAGGGAGGGAGGGAGATGAGTCCTGAGTCTGGGTGCGCCAGTCGCTCCAGGCCCTACGTGGAAGGGAGGCATGAGCGGCCTGGCCCTGGGATATTTTAACCTGTTTCTGTGTCTCTTTGGTTTTCATCCTCATCACCCCTTGGGCTGGTTCCTGAATTGTTCTGAAATGGCACTCAGAGGCAGGCAGACCAGGAAGAGAGGGCACTCAGAAAATGGAAAGGAAACAGGTTTATTGGCTCCCTAGTGAGCCCAGCAAAAGACCCTTCCAGAGTTGAGCCGGTTCTTCACTTGTTCTCACATTTATCTGTTCTTTAGCCAGGTGGGGGAGCAAGCAGGATTTCACAGAAGCAGAACTCAGCAAAGTGCAGGGAGGTGGAGGTTATACTGCTTTTACAGTTTATCTTTAAGACACGGGGAGGTGCACAGCTGTGTCCCAGCAGTTCCATTTTTCCCAGCATGGCGACCTTCATGGGTCTGGCAGGAGAGGCAAGCCTCCGACCGCCAGCCTCAAGTCCTCAGTCTCTGCCCAGTTTTGAGATTCGTCTCTGCTCTGTCTTTTGTTTTTTCCATCTTGGGTCTAGTTTCAATTTTCAGCTCCTGCCCATTTAACATGCTGTAACATTTATATCTTCAAACTTCTCTGCTCTGAGCCAAGCTGACGCTCACCTGTGCTATTATTAGAGCAAACATTATGTGCTTACTCCCGACAACTCTGCAGATGTGTCTTCTGCACGACCGACATTTACAAATTAGTGCAACACGGACTCTGCCTTAAGCTTCAATGACTTGCTGATGTCCTGATTTTCCAAAACAACTGATCATCAAAGGATAATAGTCATCAAACAACAGAACTGGATGTTCCTGTGTCTCCTTTAGATCAATCTGGATGAGATTTTCAGTCCCTGGCTGGGCAAGACCAGTGCCCACTCTTAGCCTAAAGCAGCTGTAAGAAAACTGACCATTGGCTCCTACAGCCCTTAGGAATAAGGGAAGAAAACCTCAAGGGGAAAAGAGTAAGATAAAAGAAATAAAGGTACATAAAAAGACATGGAAAATCATAATTTTAAAATTATAGTTTTAAGGAAAACTGCAGCTTCTTGACACAAAAGTTACTCAAGCCTTTTTCTCTTCTAGGAAACTCACTCAAAAAATATCCTCATTGTCTTAAAGACACAGCAGGCCTGGGCTCATGCTTCCCCTGAAAACTACACTTCCACCTGCGGAAAGGGAGTGGCAGATCTCAGCTTTGCACAAAGATAAATGGTCTACAACCTAGCAGCTGCCAGGTGGACAAGCAGGTATACATTAAGGACACACAGTCTAGAACCGCGTCTTGAGGACCCCCAAGTCCACACAAAAAACCCTACTGCAGACCACAAGGTGCCTCTCTTGAGGCCTCTATTCTTGCTGAACGTCTGCCTTTTTCATTTCTGCTCCATAAATCTCTGTCATGCCTCTCACTCGCATGTCTTGAAAATTCTTTTCCTTTGGTAGAAGTCAGCCTATCTTCAACCTCCCCTGTGGATGGGATAGTGAAGGATCCCCATTTCTGCTCTGGGAAGCCTCCTTGGACTCTGTCCTGTGACAGTTTCACTGTTTAAATTGCCACAGGTATATGCTGATGGGCTCACTGGTGTCTTAAGCACAAAATATCTCAGAAAATAGCTGAGCAGGATGGCGTCTGCATGTGCGTTATAGTGTGCTCGGTTGTGACGTTAGTGTTAATAAATCAAAATATGCATATATTAAGGACAGTGACTTTAAATATGAAGACTCAGAACGAGGTTTCACATTGACTAGGTAAACTGCTGTGGACAAAAGGTGGCGGGAACCTGACTGTTTCCCTCCATGTTTCCTCGTCTGTGGCTCCTGGCTCAGAACTCCCTCCCCAAGGCCGGCCTTGCAACTAGAAGTCCTGGTCCCCAGAGCGGGTCTTCCTGTGTAGAGCAGGCCAGGCCTTTCCCTGAGTGACTCTATTTTCCAATACAGCAGTTTGCGCTGGGCATCACACCTATAATCCCAGCTCTCGGGGAGCTGAAGCAGGAGGACTGCAAATTTGAGTGCAGCCTGGGCAACTGGCAATGTAGTGAGACTCTGCCCCAAGACAAAAATGGGTTGGGGACAAGTCAGCTCGAAGGTCCTGGTTTCATCTCCAGGACCACAAAACAAACTACAAAGAACCCAGAAGTTTGCTCCATTTTGAGTATAAGTGCTGAGGCAGATGGCTTGGTAACTGGTCTGTGTAAATAAATAACCACAAACTTAGCAAAGAATTTGAAGTTGCTCCCCAGCTGCACAACTCAATCGTAAGGTCACAAACTCATAAATAAATCGACCCTGTTTGTTAGGTAAAAAGAGCAGAAAACCGGACCAGAACAAGCCTTTATTATGGGGGGGATCTGCTGAGCTGTCTCTGAACAAAGGAGAGAAAGTGACATGGCAGAAAAAGGAGCTTCTTTTATAGGAGCAGAGTGCGGTTAACCTGAGCTGGGGTGGAGTTGAGTGAGGTATATTAAGGGATTCCTGTGACAGCACTAGGAGGGGCATGTGGCATCACCAGTTGCTAGGAGGTAGCAAGTATCAGGTTATCTTTCTTGGCGGGAAGAGGGGCATGTTGGGAAGAAGACGACTGTCCTTTGGTGGGAGAAGCCGTATTTTAACATGGCGTTTATGGGAAGGAGGCTGCTATTCCGTGTGGCGGCCATCTTAACGCACAGAACATTATGGGAAGGAGGAGGCTGCTATTTTATGTAGCAGGCATCTTAAGGCAAGGGAAATCTAACGCTGTAAAGAATCACCCCTATAAACTACACATCACATCGCGGGTATGTGTACCTAGTACAGTGTC